GGCCAGCACGGGTGCATTACCTGCACAAAGTGAGAAACCATTTCAGATTCATTGTTTTTAATTGAATCACTCCCCCCAAAACACTAAATATTTTATAAACACACAAACAGATGGGTGTGGGTGTGGGTGTGGGTGCAGGTGGGTGGATAGATAGATAGGTGCCCATGTGCACATGAAGATTAGAGAACATCAGTCTCTTCAAAAGGTCTTAGACTGAACCATCAGTTCACCCTAACCCTTGTCTATGCAGGCTGCAGCAGAGGTGGGCAACGTGCATTCAGCTGGCCACATTCATCCCTCCAGGGGCTCAAAAACTGACCACCGCACACTTCCCCATTTTTTAGAAAAATTCAGTGCTTTCTCCAAAAGTACCCTTCTATTTCCCACCATGGGACAGCCTTTTTGCTGTGTTTTGAAGTCCCTTCACAACCTGGAGCCCCTGCATTTCTAAAAATATTTTTGGCCACTAGGTGGTGCAAGAGGATTTTTCTGTTTTTTTAAAAATTATATGAGAAAAATAATGGGAAAATGAGAGGCTAATGGAATGGAGGCTGTAGTGATCACCTCTCCCTAAAGAGAGTATGATATTTGGACAGGGAGTCACTGTGGGCACAAAACTACTGCCTTTCTCTCTGAAGTAGGTCCTTTAGTCCAGCGTTCCCCAACCTTTTTCGGTCCACGGACTGCCTGGGGAACGCAGGCACTCCCGTGCTCTTACGCATGCGCAAACAGCAGTGCCACACTCACACGGGCATGTGCAGGCGCAAACGGGCTGTGCAGGGGTGAGTGCATGTGGGGGCGGGGAAGGGCTCTTTCTCGGCGGCCCAGTCCGGCTAAGGCCACAGACTGGCAACAGGCTGCAGACCGAGGGTTGGGGACATCTGCTTTAGTCCTCAGAAGTACGTAGCATGAACCCCATGGACTATCCTGACCTTAAAAAAAACCTTTGTTTCCTTTCCAAGTAACCAAGCATTGACTTTGTGCTTCCTTAGATATCACAACAGTCTTGCAAAGTAGGACCACTCAAATATAGGAGCAACTCAGTGACCTTCTCAAATCTTCACTGGATTTACCTGTAAGTCCTGCTGTTTCAAGATGCCAGGCCTCTGTAAGAATTATATGTGTCTCTATTAAAAATAAAGTAGTTTTCATTAGGATACAGTTGTTGCAGTAAAGCAATAGCATTTCACATATCCACCCATTGCAATGGCTAAATAAAGCTGCTATTTCTAAATAGAATAAGAACAACTAATATCTGAGCTTAGTAATCATTCTGGCTTCTTGACGCTTTCTACCTGTCGTCCAATTAACTGCAAGAAAGCTTAACACAACTCTCTAACCATAATCCACATGAGATCCACAGGTGCCTTATCCTGCTTCTTGTTTGGTCTTTTTTCCTTCTTGGCACCTTCGGCCTTGCTTCTTATCTCTGCAAAAACACTCTCACACATCCTATTGCTTTTAACTCATCTCACACAGAACCTAACAGACTCCATCTTTATATGACTACAATTCCCAGGATCCTTCAATTCATTACAGAGGCTAACTCCTAAACATTTTAAGTGAAACAATTAGTAAAGCCCTAATGAAATGCAATGTCTAGAGAGGAAGAAAGGCATGGCTATTATCATGCATTTCACAATGGCTTGATCTTAGTGAGCTATAAAGGTACCTATTTATCTACTCGCATTTTTACATGCTTTCGAACTGCTAGGTTGGTAGGAGCTGAGACAAGCGATGGGAGCTCATTCCGTCACGTGGATTCGATCTTACGATGGCTGGTCTCCTGACCTTGTAGCCCAGAGGCTTCTGCGGTTCCAGACATTTTCTTAGAGTTCTCCTTACGGTTTTTTGCAGCAAACGCCGCCTTTTTTATCGCACTTCCCAATGGCGGTCAGATTTGTTGGGCAACGCAGGAACCGGCATTTGCCGCCCGCTCTGTCACATTCCGCAGCAGTCTTTGGTGCAGCAAGTGCTAGAAGAAAGATGGCATCATTATTCTTATGCCCACGAGCCAGCCGCCTTGCCAGTGTCACTCCTTCTCAGAGAGGGGGCTGGTGTCAAGGACCAGAATATGGACTGTTACATACAGCTATGACCTCACCTGTCCGTCACTGCTGAAGCTGTGAGTCATCTACCAATGGTGTGATGGAGGGTGGGACATAAAGGGTGGAGCTGTGGTATATAAGGGGAGTGAATGGTATGAGAGATTCAGATAGGGCTTTGAGATAGGGTTTTGAGATAGGATATGCGATAGGGTTATGAGATAGGGAGTTAGGAGAACTGTGCTATTTTGTGAGAGTCTGTGAGAGAGTGTGTGTGATAGTGATATTATTATAGTGATTGCTTTATTATTTATATTCAAGTGATTTACCATTCCTTTTTTTTTGTACATATAAACTTTAGTTTTTATTTTGAAATCATACTTTGGCCTGAAGCTATTTATTTGAGGGAATGGTTGGTGGCAGTGGAAAGAAGAGTGATTGAGTGTGACGTAACGGCCCCTTTGTGAGGTAGAAGGAGGCTGTTACAGGGACCACTGAGCATCAGTGTTGGAGGGAATTTTACGGCCACTTGTCCCCTCAAATACCAAAAGTTTGGTTTGGAATCCAATGGGGGCCACACAAAATCAAGGAAATATTTCTACATCCTTGAAGCATACTGAAGTATATCCATATATGAATTAAAATAATGGTTTTTTTTTTTGGAAAAAACAACTGAAAATTGCTCCAAAATGATTTGTGGGCTGGATGGTATGTATGTACCACCCATCAGGTAGCCAAGGCCACTCTGGCCGATGTACAACAATTGAACAGAAGAACAATAGGATAACAAATCTGAGAGGTTAGATACCAGTCTAATCTCCCAGATTTGACGTCCCTGTTATGGATCCTCATGGCCCAGACTTTGTCAGGAGATGATACTGCCTAACAGGTCACTCCAGTAGATCACCATGAGAAGAATAAAAGAGACCTGAATCAGTCCAGCTGAGGTCCAACAATGTGTTATATCCTAGAAGGACATCAAGAGAATGAGAAACAAAATGTGGTGCTTAGTGCTCTTTTTGGGGGTGATGGGAAGCTAATGGGAAATGACTCCCCCTTCTCTGAGTGAGCCTCTCTCTTCCTCATCGATTTATTTATTCTCCCATTGATTTATTTATTCTCTTCAACTCCCCGTAGCTTTGAAATATTACCTTATTGGACTACAAACCCCATGGTACAGGGCAGGAAATTTTTCCTGATATTCAAGCGAAATCCAGCTTCCTGTAACTTGAGCCCATTGTTGCATGTCTTGCACTCTGGGATGATCGAGAACAGCTCCTGCCCCTCCTCTGTAGGACAGCCTTTCAAATATTTGAAAAGTGCTATCTGATCACCCCTCAGTCATTTTTCCCCTCAAGGCTAAAAAGGCCCCATTCTTTCAGCGTTTCCTCATAAGGCTTGGTTTGCAGCTCCCTGATCATCCTTGTTGCCCCCCTCTTTATTTATTTATTTATTAAACTTACTAGTGTTTAGTAGACTAGTGTCTACTCTGGGCGGTTTACATAAAGCATAAAAATAAACTAAAAGTAAATTGTGAATTAATCAGAGAGTCCAAGATGGAAAAAGAAAGAGAGGGGAAAATAAAGAAGAGAAATAGGCTATTTATTTATTGATTAAACTTGTTTATCTATTTATTAAACTCCTCTGAAGTTGTTCCAATTTGTTAGCATCCTTCTTGAAGTGTGGTGTCCAGAACTGGACACAATACTCAAGGTGAGTTTCCCTGGTTTGTCTCATTCAAGAAGAATATTAATCAGTACCTTATATTTATAATTAAAGATATAGTATATCATAAATTATATTTGTAATTTAAAATACATTTTCTAAACTGAGCAGCACTGATTTTGAAAACTGAGCAGAATCCAGGAATATGGTAACCAGGCTGGCTCTCTACCACTTACCTGGCGTAGCCATCAGCACCAAGAAGAGAACAGCGAAAAGAAAGCCCAAGACCTTCATGGCTGAAAGATGAGGCAGATTCTCAGGAGATGACACGATGGAGAGTCGGCTGCCTGGATGGTCTCTCAGGAGATGGCAGGATGGAGTGAAGACCTAAACCTCCCGCCATTTATAGGGTCAAAGGAGTTGTTGGGTCACAGGTTGCGGGCACCTTGTGGGTGGTCATGGTGGCTTTTCTGCAGCCTGTGGGAGAAAATGGATTATGAAGCAAATTGATCCCCAGACGGTTGAGAAAGGTTCCCTTAGAGAAGTGCAGTGTGAGAACTAAGAGGCAAAAAAACCCCTCTTACTCAGACAAGCCATGAAATTTTCCTAGTAAGATCTGCAATTAGGGAAGCCTGTTTGAATGTAAGAAGTTGTGCCATACCATGCCAGACAATTTGTCTCCTCCTGCCCCCCACAAGCATTATCAGTGGCTCCCCTGTATTTCATACAGTAGTATGGATCTGAGCTTATGTGTTAGATGTAAGACTGTAGACCTTCACTTGTAAGCCAAAAACTGCCACATTTATCTAAGCAGTAGAATTTTATTTTTATCAACCAGGCATATACATCTATAGGCAAGCTACTGCCTAATTTTATATTACCTAATATTACTTGAAGTCTGTGCTTGTGATGTGAGTCAAGAAAGAAGCCTTCAAAAAGTTTTCTCCATGCAAGATACTTCAACAAGATTTTTTGTACAGTACTTGAAGAATTTTTTTTGGGGGGGGAATTGCAGAATTGAATTTTGCGCAGAACAAGTTGTGTTTTGCACAGAAATAGTATTTTTTTTCTCAAAAGCCATGAGTTTTGTGCAAAATACAAAGTTTTGTGCAAAACCTGCATTTGTTTATGAAACCCTTCTTTTTCTTTTTGATTTCCCCATTTTTTGCAAATTTCTTCTACTATAATTGTCATTTTGCTAACTGATATTACAGGTGGGATTTTAATCTATTATTTGCATTAATTCCTCAATTAGAATGGTTTTGACCCATGTCATCAAGGTACCCTGATTAACTGGGCTACAGATTTCGTAAAAAATCAGAAGCCATCTAAGTGAGATTTTTAAATAAGCCCTTATGAAAACGATATACAACAAGCACCCAAGCAGAACATGTAGCCTTTCAGTTCTAAGGCATCATGGAAGTAGAAGCATGCGTCACTGGAAAAATGAAAAGATATGGACTTTCCTAATTCTTTAAGAAAGATGATGCTGTCACAAAACCTGTCTTAGGAAATCTCCAGGCCTTTGCATTTTTACTTAAAAGAAAATTGCAAAGTTCTTTACCTTTTCCAGTTTTTTCATTGGTAGAGAAACAGTGGCTTGGCAGCACATAACAACAAAAGAGATACCAAAGAATTTAGTTATGCTTGCATTTCAAAAACAATTTGTTAAAACTGCAAATCAATACGTAAACAAGAACGCAGATGTATTTCAGTTTTCCTATTATTTTGAATTTTGTAAGGCAGATGCACTGGAGGAAAAAAAAGAACAAAAATGTGCATATTGTAGAGAAAGTGCAGTCCAGTCAGAGCTCAGAAATGTTACCTTTTAGATTTCACATCCCTGAAGTCTCAAGACGTAAAATTAAAGATAATGATCATACAAGGAAGAGAGCTTCCAAAATGCATATTTTAGGGGAATTGCACAGCTAAAGCAGTATGACTATTTTAATTTTTGTTTTTAAAAAATTGAAAATTAATTTGAATAGGGAAGATGAAACCATGAGAAACCAAACTCGACTGTTTCCTCCATCCCTCCTCAAAGGGCCACAGATGTCTGCAACAAAGCAAGAAAGCAGAAATATTCTGACCAGTGGTGAAGACAGATCTCAGTACGGCTTGCAGAAGAACTTGGTTGAAGCCAGACAACTTTTTGCAAGGGTTTTTGAAAGGAAGAAAAAAATGATGAAATATCCCAAATAAAAAGTTCAAAAGAAGGAGAGGCTACCTTTTCCTCCTTGACTGTTGGGTTGGCATTCACTCATGGAACTTTTGGATATTTATTGTCATCCTTAGCTCTTCCAAATATCAAAAAGCTGATATGTTAACATTAGGGAACATTCCAAAAGAAGATCAGTTCACCTTCAAACTAGTTTAGAAATGACTTGATCACAGGGTCTACTGATCACATGATCTCACACATTCTACTTTCTCTCTATAGGTTCTTCAAGTACGATAGAGGGAATCAAGGAGATGGAATCAGTAGAGGGGTCTTTAAGAAGAGTCTGATGAACTGGACTTGTCCAGAAAAGTTCACATTGAAGAATATGACAGTAAGACTTTAAGGTGCCACCATAAATTTGTCTTTTTTTCAATTTTTCCTTCGTTTTCTCCATTTACAAGCCTTAGCAGGGCAGAGAAAAGCCTCGTTCTCAGGCGAAGTGAATGACACTTAGAGCATTCCATGTGAGTTCACTCTGCTTTGAGTGGATGACATTTAGAGCAGTCCATGTGAGTTCACTCTGCTTTGATGCACCGGTTACCAGAGTAGGAACAATATCTATACAATCCTTGCCCTAAAAGCCTTGTTCCTGAAGATGAGAAGGTTGGTTGGCAACTGATTTCACAACAGCCAGGAATCCTTTTCCAGATTTTCTCCGGACTTTACAAGAGCTCTTTAACATCCTTTAACAGTTCAATAGCTCCTGTCATGTTCAGATTACGTCCTAGAGCTGATGTACAGGACATTGTCTACAGTGTGGTTCCCCAACCTTGTGCCTCCAGATGTTCGTGGACTTCAACTCCCAGAAATCCTGGCCAGCAGAGCTGGTGGTAAAGGCTTCTGGGAGTTGTAGTCCAAGAACATCTGGAGGCCCAAGGTTGGGGACCACTGGTCTACAGGATTCAGTCCTCTGTTCAAGACCAGTCACATTTATTGAATAACAGCCCAAGGCAGGCCCTGTTCTCCCAAGGAAGATGGGCTGGAAAGGACTGGCTGATGTCGGCCCCCAGGGCCCTTCTGCTTTGCTCCCCCCCAGCCTCGTTGCCCAGAGGGAGATGGGCTGGCTTTGCCTTCCATGAACAAACTGCACCCATTTCCCTCTCAGAACCTCAACCTGGCAACTGATGCACCCACGAGGCTTTGGGAGTTTCATAGAAGCATCGAATTTGGGAACTACCCACAAGAACCTGGTGCGCAGCCTGAAGAAGATAGATAATCGTCCAAAGTGTGCTGCTTAGTTTTGGTTTGTTTCCTTTGTTTCCTTTGCTTTGCTTTCTTAAAGCTCCAATGAAGGTATTACCATTACCTACGGTTCTATTGTTTCAAGGACAATATGGGCCACTCCTGATTTTCCCCGGGGACACGTAGCTGTTGCTGCCACCACGCTGTCCCTCCTTTCCCCCAATCCAAGTGTGCTGAATTCATTCCAGCACATCTGACAAGAAGAAGCAGCAGCTTCATTTGCTGAAAAGCGTGGCGCAGAGGGAGGTGTGGCTTCCCTCCACACCGAACCTCCCTCCAACTTCAAGGCCACCTCTCCGTTCCAAGGGTTCAAGGCTGAGGCCGAGCCCAAACCTCTCCCTGCCTCACCTCCCTCTGGCAAAATCTCAAAGGAAGTTTATATACCGGCCGCAGAAAAAGATTTTAAAAATTGTAATAGGGAAGCCACATGTCAGGGAGGAGGCTTTTGAAAAGTATTGATAGGGTGATACGCACATTTCATACTTCAAAGGAATATCTTGATACACCATTGGAACAGAAAACAGAAGCCTCCCTGTGAAAGGAGGCGAAAATCAGAGTTACACCCAGTAAATGATTGGGTAATGTTAGTGCGTTGTGTGAGCAGAAATTTCAACCACTATGGAACATGTGCCTTGTGTGCTCAAGCCCCGAGCGGCAGGAGAGGAAATGGGTGAACGGGAGCATACGTATAAAGTCCTGCGAACATCTGGCTTGGCCCTAAGCGGTGCACCTCCAAATCTCCACCAAGTATTTCCCCCAAAACACAGAAGCACACTTCACAGATTCTGGTCATCAGATGCACGTTTATTCAATGGGAAAGGAGAGAAACAGAACCTAATTCAATGAGAAACAACTGAGGGAGAAAGATCAAGTGACTGTCATTCCGGGGGGTGAAGGTGGGGATACAGCCGAAAGATAGGGGTGAACAAACGCCCTGGAAGTCGATGAGGAATTCACCACAAACAGGCGGCAACCTACAGGAAAGAAAAAAGCTTTCAGATGCAGGATTTTTCGTGAACATGGATTATGTTACATAATAAGATTTATGAAGCAGAATGTATGTCCCTCATGCAGAATCATTTCCATCTGTGCTCAGTGTAGAATTTGGGGGACATATATCTATCTATGTATATACTGTATGTATGTAATTAGGTCAGAATGGACTTGACTGCACATGGTCAATATTCGTAAAGCTATCGGTCACTCCTGCTTTCGGATCCACTTCATGGTTGGTCTGCCTCTTTTCCTGCGGATTCTGGCCCCCTGGTCTCCCCGTGATCTGCCTTTCCCCCTCTCTTTTCCAGTACACCTTCCATTATTAAAATGAAATGAAAAGCCTTTGTAAACGATGAAGGGGGCTTCAGACTACAAAAGCTTATCTGTTTACCCTCAAAGAAATGACCTCACAAACATTATAATTACCTTTCCAAGGAGAGAGCTCCTCATTTCTTGCAGCAAGCAATTTTATTCACACCACAGTGCCCGATGCGTCTTGCTCCATGTGGACAATTCCCGGGCTCGCAGTAGCCACCAGCCTTGTGACATTGGGCAAGGGAAGTTGGCCCACCAGCAAGCGCTAGAACAGAAGAGGGATCAAGGTGTTTTTTCCATGTTCAGGACCCACTGTTGCTACCATCCTGACTTGCTCTGATACCAAACTCAAGGGGCGAGTGCCAGCTGGATCGTGCCAAGCCTGAGATGGCAATTCAGACACGGTGTACGAGAGCCATCTTGTCTTGCCTGAAAGAGGCCGCCTGCCAAAAAGTTGCTTTTCCAGAGAGGAGGATATGACGCAGTAGCTCCAATCCAACTGGAGTTAGGCAGACAGGGTAACTTTGAAATGCGAATTGCTTACCATCTCCTTAGGCCTTACCTGTTGCATGCTGAGTAGCACCACTCCGTATGCAAAGGATAATACCTCAGAAGACTTCCCAACTTCTGGCAATTGACTTCCAAGGATTTCATCAAGGAATTCCAACTGCAAGAAAGGAGGTCCTGGCTAAATGGTAGGGAGACCTTTGTGGGAGCAAGAGCTGCTCTGCAGTTGAATGGGTTATCTTGGAAACTTTGGGTGCAGAGGCGGGATGGGCATCTCTCAGGGGGCTGCAGCTGGGTACCTCTGACTTAGATGCCCTCTGGGACTCCTAATATTTTTGATGCTGAGCAAAATGCGTCAATGGAGAAAGAGAGGCCGAAATAGGGAAAAGCAGGGGAATCCATAAGGAGCAGAAAGGTGAGTCCCTGCAAGACGAGATGCCTCCACCAGATTAGGGCCTCCCTAACAAGGAACTGGAAGTCCACCTGACCACCCTGCTCATTCTACGGGATCCGAACAGCCAAAAAAACCCACTGAGTCAGAGTTTAGGTTTGACCACACACTACATTAAGGATGTCATGCCTAGTTAAATTACATTATCTTCCTTTTAAACGACCCTCCTCCCCACTTCATGAAGATGTTTTGAGGGGGGAAAATTGCTACCCTGGTGTTTAACATTTTCAACCATGAACACGAACACCTGGAAGGAAGCAAAGCAAAATAAAGAGAAACCTTAAACTGCCCATGAACCCTATTCCAAGTCACCACCCAGTTTTCAGCAGAGATCTTACCCGGAGCAGCCATCAGGACAAAGAAGAGAAGAGCTGAGAGGATGGCCAAGAGCTTCATGACTGAAAGGTAGGATGGGATGTCTCAGGAGGTGGTAAGACAAGGAGGTGACCCAAAGCTCCTACTATTTATAAGACAGAGAAACAGTCGTTGCAACAGAGTGTGGACATCTTGGCAGCTTTCCACATAACTTTCCTGCTGCATGTGGGCAATCTTAATTACCATGCAAATTGGCCCTAGATTATTCGGAAAGGATTTATGAGGAAATGGTGAATTAAATAAAACAACCAATGTACTCATAAACAGTATGTTTGTCTGACCTCTCTTTTGATACCAGGATTTCCTGTTTCAGAAGGTAACACTTGACAATTAAGGAAATGTACTCCCCTCCTCACTGGGAGGACAGATACTGAAGCTGAGGCTCCAAAACTTTGGTCATCTCATGAGAAGAGAAGACTCCCTGGAAAAGACCCTGATGTTGGGAAAGTGTGAAGGCAAGAGGAGAAGGGGATGACAGAGGATGAGATGGTT